TATAATTTTTAAAAATGATAAATAATTTAAAATAAAATTTTGAAAGTAGTATTTAATACAAAATAAAATGAGTAAGTTTGTTAACAAGAGATAATTAAATTTAAATAAGTGATTTTATGATTCTCGAGCTGATAATTAATGGTCAATTATATGAAAGTTTTGTGATTTTCAAGGAGAGCTCATAGCGGGAGAGACCGCTAACCATAAGCTAAGTAAGCAACGACATTAAGTGGGTTTAAAGACCACAATCAATTTATACAAAAAAAAAAAAACCACAATCAAACCCAAAAATTTGGTGCACGAGTCCTTCCACTTATATGGTGCCCCTTCAGTATATTTTTAACCAATATAAGACTTCACCCATTCATACTTGGATTCCTCAACATCTCCCTCTCAAGTGTGCGCCCTAGGCCCACATTCTTTCCCTCTTAAGGAGAAACTTCGAGTATTCATGGTGTTCATTAATGCTTGGCTTTTCATCAAGACATTGGCTTTTCTATCAAGGCTTGCCTACACTCATTAAAACCTTGGCTTACCATATCTTCAAATACTTAGATCAGCAAATGTCAATCCATTATTGGCTCTGATACCATTGTTGGGATGAGGTCCCTCAAATAATTATGGCGAAAGCAATATACCCGATCGGCTTTCACGAGCTTTCCGCCTAGTACAACTAGTTTACCGCTCGACACAACTAGCAGGTCTTCACTACATGCTTTACTGCCCGGTACACGTGCAATCCGATGGGTTGATGTCTTCAAGCTTACTGCTCAACAATTTAGTCTTACTGATAAGCAATTTAGTATTACCAGTCAGCCAACACAAGCAAATGATTAGCAATCACCAGTCTGTCTAAAACACAGCAGAAAACAAGAGATGTAAGAGACAAAAGATGAACAGAAAGACACAGTAAATTTTAACACGAAAAACCTCCCCTAAGGAAAAAGAGTAAAAATCACGAGACACTAGTGTAGAAAATCTTCCATTATAAAATAATAGGATTACAAAGGATTCACACCCAAACTATGAGGCACACTCAAATTTCACCAACAATAGTACTTACAAAAATTTTCTTTATATAGGTCTCTCTCTCAACTTCTCTTCAGAGGATTCACACCCAAACTATGCATAGTTAAGCTCTCAAAATGACAAACTGATTACAAATATTTTCTCGAGCTTATATAGGTGAGGAGAAACCTTACACCTTCTTCTAGAGTCTTCATCAATAATAATAAGGAGGGTAGCATTTATTGAGGTAATTGTATTTAAACATTGAGCCATACATCCATAAACGAAGTGCATACCTAGCCACCAAGAAGAAGAAACGTATATATGCACAGTGAAAGTAAGTGTTTCCACAAAAAAATAATAGTGCTGCCACGCTCGTCCAGTTGCTTATAATAGCATGGACCAACTAAGTTGTAGTATTTAATTGTAGACTTAGGGCATGTTTGGTGTGATGTATAAGACCTGATATTATAAGCTTATATTATACATTATGATATTTTTAGTTGTTTGGTATGACCATCATATAGTATAAGCTTATACAGCAGAACCCCTTAATATATCAAAATGGTGTATAACTTAATAAGGCCTAAGGGGGTGAGATTAGGCCTGATAATGAATTGATATATTAACATTGCTGAACAGTATAATTATGAAGAATTAATATATTATTTCAATATTAATATATTAAAATAAAAATTATTTTTTAAAATATTGGGGATTCTTATTTTTATGAAAATTAATATTTTTTTAGACACATTGATCAATATATTTTTATAAGAGTTAATATAATATGACATATTTGAAATAATTATATAATTTTTTTATTAAATGGTATTTTTGTTAAAAATATGTATTTTTATTATATCTAGTATTATACAGTGGATTATCAAATATCGGATGATATTATCTTATACAATATCATGTCAAATGCTGGATAATATTATAATTTAATCAGGTCTTATACAATCAGATTTTATACTATCAAATCTTATACTATCAGGCCTTATGCTATATTGTGCACCCTACACAACAAAATTATCACTTGCTCGCTTATCAACAATGCACCAAATATGCCCTTAGTTATAAATACAAATAATAATAAGGATAATTCATAAGTAGTTATAAAATAATTAGTTTTATTTGTTTTTAACATCCCAAATCCCAATTGTGCAAACAAAAAGTGACATAATTTCAAGAAAAAAATGTTTGTCATTTTAAATGACAGAAAGTTGTGTTATTTTAAGAGAGATATAAACACAGAAAATTTGAATTTTAAATTAAAAAAAATCACCCACTTTCTCTCTTCCATGATTTCCGTTTTTTTGTGTCTATCTCTCTCCTAAAATGACATAACTTATGTCATTTAAAATCACAAACACCAAACCTTAATTTCAAAAACAAAATAAGTGGAAGTTGATACAAAAAGATCAACATAAATAATTTATTGTTTGTTTGGTGGAGGCTATTAATGGATTTGATATTTTTAAGGCAATTCATTAAATATAACATCGAATCGTTACATAAATTTGATGCAATCAGCTATAGCTGTTTCGTTCCCTTCCACTGAAATTTAAATGTCTTTGAAATTTACTTTTCACTTTCCACTAAAACAGAAAAGCAAAAATTCAAAATTGATGTCATAAATTACTACTAATTTGTTTTGCTAATATGCAATAAATTCCAATTAAAAATTCTAATAAAAGCTGCATTACACACAATCAAGAAGGTTGAACCATAAAGGCAGCCACTTGTGCAGGAGGATCATAATATAGGGACAGTCACTAAAATTAGGGGTGTTCGCGGTCTGGATTGGATCGGTTTTGGAAGCAAAAATCATCTGATCCAATCCCTTCAGTTTAATCATATAATCATCCATTCGGTTTTGATTTTTTATCAAATCCGATCCGATCCAATCCAATTTTTTCCGGTTTGGATTGGATCGGTTTTCGATTTTTTAAAAATCCTAAAATTTATTTCATGATTATTGTGCAAATAACATCTTTTGATTATATTGGCTTTGTAAAAAAAAATTGAAATACAAAAAATTAGTAAACTATAATATAATTTTTTTAATTTTGGCAATGAGATATGAAGTTCTACAAAGATAAAACTTTGTTGATGAGATATGACTAGATTTTTTCTTGGGTTTAGTTGATGGGTTAATGGGTCTTGGGTTTAGAAATTTTTAGGCTATGATTAGGGAAATACCCAAGTAGGTAGAGGGAAATTAATATATTGGATCGGTTTGGATTGGATCGATTTTCATCAACCCATCCAAAAACCGATCCAATCCAATTAAAATTTGCTGTTTTTAATCGGTTTTCGATTTTTCGGTTTTCGGTTTATTCGGTTATCGGTTTTTCGGTTCGGTCACCGTGGTTTGAATCGGTTTGGATCGGTTGATGAACACCCCTAACTAAAATGCCACGCTTTGACAAAAAAATTACCAAAATGCCACGCGAACAGTAAAATTTTCCAAACTGCCACGCGACATAATTTGCTACACAGTGTAGCGAATTATGTATGCAAGTAATTCGCTACACAGTGTAGCGAAATATGCCACGTCAGAATGCACAGAACCAAAAAGTGACATGTGTCAGAATGTTGGAATTCGCTACATAGGGTAGCGAATTTCAACAATTTTGACACATGGCACTTTTTGGTTATGACGTGGCATATTTCGCTATACTGTATAGCGAATTAACTGCCACGCGGCATAATTCGCTATACTGTGTAGCGAATTATGCCGCGTGTCAGTTTGAAAAATTTTATTATTCACGTGACATTCTGATAATTTTTTTGCCAAAACATGACAAAATAATCACTGTACCCGTAATCTATGATTCATCTGCATTTGTTTCTTTATTTATGTAACGTGGTACTCCTTGTACCAACGCAACATACTGAGAATGGGGCAGAGGATCCTTCTACCAATAAAAAAAAGGGTGAACATTGGATTTCATAATACCGAAAGTACCCACCCAGCAACAGAACAGAAGAATCGAAAATCCCATTCTTGTAAATATTTTGTACCCACAAGGGCATTTCCAGTAACCAACCCTTCTAAAAAACCTCATCTTTCCCAAACTTTGCAGGGTCCCACTCGTTTGCCTGCTGTTGTATTGGCCAATTAAAACACTACATAAAAGTGGTAATTTCCCCCATATTTACCTCAAATGTTAAAAGAAATCTTAGCTAATTTTTTTTTGTTTTTTTTTTTTGTATTTCCTAATATTTTTATATTATTAAATACAATCTCATACTAACCCTGCTAATAAAACATGAGCTTAAATTATATAGTCAAACTAATACAAAATCTTTCTAATAATAAAAAATATGTTATTAACTTTCCTCTTAACACTTATTAATTAGTCCTAATGGAGCCTCAACAACTAACTTAGAAAAAGAGGGGATTTGTCAAGTTTGTTGTGTTGGAGTCATGTCCAAATATTCACAAAAATATTATTTACAGTATTTGTCTCGATGCATATATTTTACGTAACTGCTGACGTGGACGCAGTAAAGAAGCTATTGAATTTGAACAAAATAATCAAAATGTTAAAACTGTAACATACATAATAAAATATGTATTTATATAAAATTAATAATAAGAATATTTATTATGAGATTATTATCAGTTACCTTTAGTAACATTATTGATAATTGATAAGAGAGCAGCGAAAAGCAAGGAGGGTGGAGAGAATCTAGAATTGCCCATTTGTTTATGATATTCTAGAAAACATATTTATTTTATTTTATTTTTATGTAAATGGTAAAGGAAGGAAGAGAGGAGTGATGAAAAAGCAGAGAATAAAAAGAGACCGGATGTTGACAAATTTCATGTCACTGTTCTTAGAAGGTCGTTTGTTTGTGTGAAGATTTCTTATCTGGGATCTCTCTCTCTTTAAAAATCTTTCTCTCTCTAAAAAAAATGCTTCATTTTTCTTCTTCTATTTGTGTGTGTTTTTGAGAGAGAGAGAGAGAGAGAGAGGAAGGAGGGGCTGGCCCAGCAGATCGAAATCTCCTCCTTTTCTTCAACCTGATGACGATCTAAGCTCCTTCAATGGTGTTGCTACAATACCCACTTTGTTGTTTGTCCTATAATAATAATAATAATTATTATTATTATTGGTTTTAGTTCTAGGTACCTTTTTTGGCTTCACATAGTGCAAGTCCTAAAGGTTCTCAATTTTTATTTTCTCTGAAGTTGTTGGTGCCTTGAATGGTAGAATCCATGTGGGATTCTTAAGCGGAGGTGCTCAGAGGATGTGGGTGTGAGGTAATTTTACTTATACTCCTCTCTCTCTCTCAATATTTTAATTTGTATATATTTTACTTTATGATTTTGATAATTTTGGTTTTAGACTTTTAGTATTTTATATCTGGTTCTGTTTTCAGTACGATGAAATTCTTTGGTTCCTGTTCTTTGGGGGGTTATTCCAATGAACTCCTTAACATAACTCTTTCTTTTTCTTAATTATTATTATTATTATTATTATTTTACTTTGAATTTTGTTGATGGAATTTTCTGATGTTGAATTTTAGTATTTCAAATGCTTCTTCTGGTTGAAAGCATCCGCTGTTGGGTTCTTTTAGATAATTGTTGTATTGGATCTGTTTAATTAGATTTTGTCATTCATTCGTTCCTTTATTTAGTCCCTTTGACTCAGAATTGGAGTGAAGAAACTGTGTTCCCTCATATTGTGGATGAATTTATGCTGTTCTTGGTTTGTAACTGCTCCACTACTCCAGATATTTCTCATTTCCATTATGAGCCTATGTTGTGTACTTTTGAAACGCAGGAACTCTTTGCATAGATTTTGGAAATTCCTCATGCCCAATATTAATTGGAGATGTATGAATGGTTCTGGGCAGTTGAAAGCATAGATAAAATTTGTATTATAGAAATTCATCTACTTTGCTTAGATTTATTAGAATCATTTGCGTTGTGCTGCTTTTATGAGTATTTTTAAGCTGTTGTTTGCTTTGATTGGGTAATGAATGAATTTGTAAACTTTGTCCGTAATTCTTTGGCATGTTTTTCAACGGCTGTGGTTATTACTGCCATGAAATGATAAGTCACTAGCATATAAATGTGTGTTCATGTGTCTGAGTTGTCCACTGGTATTCTTTGTCAAAGCGAGAAACAACAAAAATATTGGAATATGCTAACAACATTTATACTTTATGTTATGAAGCATTTCTAAGTTGGATAAAGTAAGCAAAGTTATCAAATGCGGATTGCGGCATATCGCGGCCAACCCCGAAAAATACTATAGCGCTATAGCGGGTTGAGGAAATAGCGGAATAGATATATGATAGAAATAATGACAAAAAGAAACATTTTTTAAAGGCAAAGATAGCATAAGTGACAGAGAAAGACGCAGATAGACTAATAAACCCTTAAAGAATTTCTGTTACACATTTATATTTAGGACCAAATTGACATTTTGCCTTATGATGGCAATATGGTCGCGATTTGGTCGCAAATGGGATCACAATGGCCGCTATTGCATTCTGGTGCAGCGCGGTGCAGTTTCTTGCAGCGCGGCTTGCATCGCTGTTGCAGCGCAATTAATTACTATGAAAGTAAGGCCATTTTATATGTTCTGATCGGTGCATTAGTATAGGCTTAAAGGTTATTAGTGCGTCTTTAGCAGCTTGTTGGCGGATGGGGTTTACTTGGGATATATTGGCCCTCAACCCCGTAATATCAGACGGAATTGGTTGTCAGTTTGTCATAGCAATAATAATGATCCCCTTTCTTGCGGTCCTTTAACATGCCAGATTAAGCACTTGTAGTGTAACAGTAATAAATTTAAGCATTCAGTGATCTAAAATCCTATCTTTAAGGATGTTTCTTGTATTTCTTATCATCCCCAGCCCCCAAAGTTTTGGTAAATTTCTTGAATTCTCTACCTGTTATGGTAGTCTTCAGTTGTAATTGTTATATCCTACTACAATTAGAATTTGGCACATATATGTTGTGTGTTAGTTTTCTGATACTTCTGAATATGGGAGTTGTGAATTTTCATTGGTAGCTAGTGTAGCTGTGTTTTTTTTAGTTAAAATATTTGATAATTGTAAGGATTTTTTTTTTCTTCTTGCACCTAATTTTTTTACGCAGCAAGAGATGTTGTTTACATGCCATAAAGAGTATCTCGGTTTAATTTTCTCAAGTGCTTGGTGTTAAATTCGTGTTTAGGAAGCTAACATGGAATTCTTTTTTCTAATTAAATCCTTTCTTAAATGCATGTCATTCCCTTCCTATGTTGCTTGAAGTACTTACACATTTGCTTTTAAGATAAAAGTTTATATTCATGTTGTATTCCACGTAACTTGGTGCAAGTAGGGTATTTATTATCATGCATTTAGAGGCTTTGGTGTCAATAAATTGGTATCTTATATATAAGTTGTGTATATGTTCAAATGAAATTTCAACTTTATATTGCATAAAATATAAAGGAAAATGTCATAACTGCGACTTTTACATGTGCGTATACGAGGAGCATTGGGAACAAGTATAGGGGAGGGAGTGAAGGGGGTGGGGTGGATTTTTCGTTACAAGTCAGTTTGGAATCCCCTTAACACTAGGGTGATGGGTTTATCATACAACTTTTCATATAAAGCTTATTAATGATTTTTTTCACTCTCAATTTTAAGGGGACACCACAAAGCGCTCAAAATCTAATAATCCGTACTATGTTCATTTTGTGTATTGAGAAGTTTCCTTAACCATTCAAGTAATTTCTGGGTATGATCATCTTTGTGCTAGCTTGCCATATGTCATGTCATTAAGTTTAAATTTCTGTTATCCAGTTATTTGACAGCTCTTTGTAGATTGTGTTGTGGTATGTGATGCTGTACAACGTTAGTAATTGTTAATTTGTACTAGAATACTTACATATAACTTTGGTCAATTATCAGGAATGGGAACCAAAGTCCAGAATCTGCCAGGATATTACTCAATGAGAGATCTTAATGAGGACTCTAGCAGTTGTGGCTGGCCCCTATTTTATGTGGATAAAACATTGACAAATGGAAAGCACTATAATAATTATCTGCCAAGTGCTACCGCAGATGCATGTTCAGTGTATAATAAGGATGCTGTGAAGCGGATGATGCTTGAGCATGAGGCCATATTTAAGAATCAGGTATGAAGGTTTCAGTTTCTAACTTTCTTTTTATCCCTTGTCCTGTAGCAGAAATAGTATGTATGGTGTGGGTGGGGTGTTTTAGAATTGAGTCTTATTTGTCAATTTAAAATTAAAGATAGGTTTTTTTTCTAGGTCTTGAATTTTGTTATTCACGCTTCTTTAGAGTTCCTTGTTTTAAAATGTCACATTTTTCAATTGCTGCAGCAGGAACTACTGCAGCTGAGTAGTTCGTAACTTAATCATCACTATTTTGCTGCAATATTAAGTTTACTCAGTTTTAGATGTACAGTTTTCTTGTAACATGGTTCAAGTGATGGTCTTGTTAAGCAGTAAGCTTAATATCTTTTTGTACATCAAGATTGGTGAACCTATTGATATATTTAAACTATGTATTGTCAAGCAGGTCTATGAACTCCACCGTTTATACAGAATACAAAGGGATATGATGAATGAATTTAAAAGGAAAGAATTGCACAGAAATCAGATACCTGTTGAGGCATCATTTTCCACAGCTCCGTTGTCATCCCAAATAACAGCTGAAGATGGCCAAAAATGGCATATTTCTGGCTTTCCTGTAGGAAATTCTACTTGTGCCAAAACATCTGTTTCAGGTACTGAGGGTATTCATTCTCCTGTGGGTTCTATTAAAGGAATCAGCATGCAAGCTGGTCCAATTTCATCCCCAAATGGGGGTAGTTCAAAAGATGTTGAGGTGCTTGAGTCCAGACCCTCAAAGGTGAGGAGAAAAATGTTTGACCTTCAGCTCCCTGCTGATGAGTACATTGATACCGAGGAAAGTGAAAAGCTTAGCGATGAAAAGATAAGTGGTCCAACATTATTTCTTCCTGATAAAAATTGTAAAAATGGAAAGGATGGTGATATAAAACATTTTTGCTGCAATGGTGGGAAGACTGGTACCCAGGAGGACACTTCAAGATCTGAGCAATCATTAAGGAGAAGAAATGGTTTGGCTGACTTAAATGAACCTGTTCAAGTAGAAGAAACAAGCGATTCTCCATATACACATATTCTGAGCCATAATCCTGGTCAAGGGGCAACCGAATGCTCGGATCTCTCTGCCACTGCCAAACACCAGTCACAATTTTTTGGTTTATCCAGGGAACATTTACTCAACTCACGTCATGGAACTGACAGTTGGGCTCAAAATAATGGATATTTGGAGAAGAATGGGAGTGGAAAAGAGTGGGCTGAGGCAGGTTAGACTTCTTATAGAGTTGCTTCATTTCTTTTTTTTTTCCTTTCACCCCCTCCCTCCCAAAAATGAAGTTTTTTTAAGCTAGGTATTTTTATTTTGCATTTGACCATCAGATATTTTTCTAAGAGAACTGATAGAAAAATTAGTGTTTAAGAAAAAGCTGATAATGAATTTAGTATGTCTTATTGTGATTCTTTTATAATGAGCTCATACAAGAGACAGGAAAAACTATAAAACTTGGATTTTGTTAGTACGTGTTAGAGCTGATGGATTACTATACTCGTTGTTGCCTTTCTTCTTGTTTCATGTTAATAAACTGATTTATAAATCTTTTTGCCCCAACTAGAATTTAGGAAAGCCATTTCCTTTGTGTATCTTTTCCTTTTGTTTTGGAGTATACTTTCCTTTCTGATTATCTGGCTACAATCAAGTATTATTGATAATGACGTATTATTAAAATTGTGCCATGACAATTGTGTTTCTAATGTTGGCAGGGCAAGCTAAAAGCAATCTACAACCCCTTCCTCAAGTCCTCAAACTGGAGAAATCGTTTTTGTCTTCCCAAACAGTGCAAGATGCACTTTGCAAAGCTCATGAACCTGCATCCGATTATCTAACTGGTCGAAGCAAGACAGATACGTGGAGGGAAAAGACAGTTAGTGATTTACATTTTGGTGAAAGAAGTCATGAATACTCCATCAATAAGCTTACTGAGGCTGTGGTACCTGTACATAGACCTGGTCTTTTTGCAATTGCTCCTTCATCTGATTTATCCAAGTCTTGGTCTCATTCTGCTTCTTCTTGGGAAATGGCAAGTAGCAGCCAAATCCAGAAGTTAATGTCAGTTCAGACACCTCCGGGTCTTAATGCATCTGGTGTCTTGAGTAGGAGTTCCCAGTCACATCAAAGTAAGGGGATGTTTGAAGATAGCTGGCCTTTAAATATCAATTCCAAGCCTAACCTAGGTTCTCGTTGTGATGTACCTATACAAAACGGATTTTACCCTGGATCTTCATCTGGGTCCGTGGAACCATCAATGAACATCTCTTCAATTAGCTATGACCATCTCAATCACAATGGTAAGATAATTCCCGAACATTTCATCAACAATGGTTCATCAATATACTATAAGGGTTCAAATTCAAATTGCAATGACATGAAGTCTGGAAAAGAAATTGACTTGAATGTGCTGCTTTCAAATGGTTCATCCAACAACTTATTTCCCCAGTCAGGTGTTGGGATAATGGATGGAGAACAGAAGCATGAGGAGCATCTTGCAGTGTTGCCTTGGCTTAGAACGAAGACAACTTGTAAGAATGAAGTACAAAATACTGATAGAGGCATTACTGCAGGACAGTCAAAATCTTTCCATGTTGCTTCATTGTCCAACAAAGATGAAACTGGAAAGGGGCCTTGCGGAAAATCTATGCACACTTCGGTTTTGTGTTCTAATAATACTGAACCAAGGAGGACTGAGGTAAGTAAAAGCTCCAGTCATAAGAAAATTCTTGGTGTTCCCATATTTGATATGCCTCATTTTTCTCCCAAGAAGGAGTTATCTTCAATCACTTCTCCCTCTGTGTCAACTCCTAGTCCATCTGACGTAGAAGCAGTGGAAAATAATCAGAAAAATCAGGTACTTGATATTAACTTGCCTTGTGATGCTGCTGTTCTTGAGTTGGACAAAGAACCAGTCACTGAAGCTGTTGTTGGTAAGACAAGATCTCCTACAACGAAAGCAGAGTCTAGAAATCAAATTGATCTGAACTTGAGTATGAGTGAGGAATCTGAGGATGAAGTATCTTTCACAACTATTCCAACTGCAAGTGTAGTAATGAAGGCAGAAATAGATCTAGAAATCCCTGCTGTTCCCGAGACAGAGGAGGATGCTGCTGTTCCTGAAGAAAAGCAGCTTGAAACTTCTCTAGCATCACCACAGGACTTACAAGATACAGTTGAACGGCCACAGGATGAACTTATGAGAAATGCGGCCGAGATCATTGTTGTCTTGTCATCTCTTTCCTGTGATCAAGTGGATGGTGTGATCAGTAATCCATCAGAAAGTCCAATAATGGTGGACCCGCTAAACTGGTTTGTGGATATAGTTTCCTCATTTAAAGATAATCTCGAGTGCAAGGGTGGTATTTCGAGGGAAAAAGTTGGTGAGGATAATCAGGAGTGTTCATCTGAAGGAATGGATTACTTTGAGTTCATGACACTGAAACTGACACAAACCAAGGAAGAAGACTACATGCCAAAGCCTCTTGTTCCAGAAAACTTCAGAGTGGAAGAAACAACAACTTTGTTGCCTACACGGACGCGAAAGGGGCCAGCAAGGAGAGGGAGGCAGAGGAGGGACTTCCAAAGGGACATCCTTCCAGGCCTTGCTTCTTTATCAAGGCATGAAGTGACAGAAGATCTTCAGACATTTGGAGGGCTTATGAGAGCAACAGGTCATTCGTGGCATTCGGGATTAACAAGGAGAAGCTCTTCTAGGAATGGCTGTGGCCGGGGGAGGCGCCGGGCGCAGGTTACCCCCTCTCCCACGCCACCAGTGACAACCATTGAAACTTGCACCCCTCTTATCCAACAGCTTAATAACATAGAAGTGGCATTGGAGGATACAAGCCTAACAGGTTGGGGTAAGACAACCAGAAGGCCCCGTAGACAAAGGTACCCTGCAGGTAATCCGACATTGATCCCGTTAACCTAATCACCATAAGAGGCTTAAGAGTTAAGATTTTTAGATGAGAATTTATAGAGGTAAGCTTGGTCAGTTCCATATACATGGGACACATGATGTTCTCAGGCATGGGGATTTCTCTTGTAAATTTCTTCAACCCGAATTTGGGTATATGCTTGATGTGATACCAACTTGTATTTTTCTTAAATAATGTTGCATGATTTCTTCTGATTATCTCTTTATAAAACTGTTGAGATATATACCAGTGTCCTTTCACTTAGTGTTCTCTCACATTTTGGGATTTTTACTGAGTTTCTGGTTACACTCAGTTCTTTTGTCCATGCTGCATGAGTTTGCCCTCCATCTAATAGGGCTTTAAGTATCTTATGACATAGGTAGCTGCTTACCATCAAACATAAAATATAATTCATATATTATTTTACGTCTCGTTTTAACACATCTACTAAACGCTACCTAAGTATTAGATTTGATCATTTGTTATGGATGCCTTTGGTGATACTTTTGACCTCAATCATAGCTCATTCTGTAGTGTGATTAAAGATTTTGTAGGATCTGTTTTGTAATTATGAAGGCTTAACAGGATGTTAAATATATATGTAAATATTATTTCTCATGTGAATACAAAAAAGTGGATGTAACTCATTTATTTTCTTTTTCTTTTATTCTGAATGGGTCTCACATATTTTTTTATGTGTCTCATGCAAAATGAGAAAATTATATCTCCATAATATATATATATATATATATATATAAAAACTTCGGATTTATTTTTTTTCTTGTTGCAAAAGATAAATTTATCTCATACATACATAAAAGTGTGTGGGATCCATGTCTTCTCTTTCTCTCTCTTCACGTGTGGACCTTTCTCATTTTTGTATATATGTAATAGATAAATTTATCTTCTACAACGCGAGAAACATTAAATCTATAAACTTTTCATCTGTTATATTGCAATCCCTACTATTTCCCCACTACCCTTAAAAAAAATGGAAAAACAGTACATCTAAGATTTTCTCTTTTCTTGTTATGGTCTTCTGTTGCTAACTGGAGGGAAAAATCAAACTTGTCTTTCATCATTGGTGGAGTCTTGCACTATCACAAAGAGGAGAAAAGTTTTTGTGCTCCAGGAGTACAAAAATTCAGTGATCCCCTTTGAAAAATGCAGTACATAGATGAAAATAAAAAATGAAAGAAAGGAATAAAGTGAAAAAATTTGTGTGGAAATACAAAGGAGAATCACTGAATTTTTGTGCTCCTCAAACACAAACTTTTCTCGACAAAGAGCGCACAAAAAAATTATTGAAGTGCGGAGTATGTGCTACTGCAATGTACAACCTCTTCTCCTGTCGGTCTGAAAAAAACAATAAAAAAATGAATAGTTTGTTCACTTTGTTGAACGTTGATTGTTGAAAAAGTATTTAAATACTAAAAATTTAGGGGGGGGGGGGGGGGAATTGCTATCTCTATGGATGAAAGAAGAGAATTTTACTAATAATTCACTCGTTTTAGCTTAAGATGACTATCTCCACTTCATTTGTGAGGCGTGCGTTTATCCTTGAACGTGGTTACTTACCTGCTAGATGGTAATGATACCATCCATGGGCTATTCTGTCATCAAAGTAATGTATTAGACAAACACCCATCATATCAAACCCTAGTAATTTTAATAGTTCTTACCTTGAGAACGTTTGATAATAATTAAGAGATTACATATGTACAAAGCATCACGAAGCTGATTGATAAGTAGGAGAATATTATCATTTATTAGAAATATTTTGCCATTATACAAGTAATTTAGTCTTGAGTAGTTTCATTTGATTTTTTACATTAAATTTCAATAAACTTCTCTCTTTTATTTCACATCTTCATTTAACTTGTATATTTATTTGGGTGAGTGATCTTTTTTCTTCAAAGAAAAAAAGGGATACAATTTTACTCCGTGACCTTGAGAAAATACAAGAAACATGAGAAGTGTGTAAATTATGAACATAAGAAATAAGAATAGCAACACTCTAGTCATATACAATTATTAGTGTAACATTTGTGCAACTTATGTTATTTGTACATCAACATTCAGAATTAATAAACCAAACATAATTGAAGTGGACGTTAAGGGCATGTTTGGTACATAGTATATGATAAAGCTTGATAGTATAAGATCTGATAGTATAAGGCCTGATTGTATAAGACCTGATTAAATTTTAATATTATTCAACGTTTGTCATGATATTGTTAAAGATAATGTATTGTATAAGATAATATTATCTAATATTTGGTAATGTACTGTATAATACTATATAGGATAAAAATAAATATTTTTGACAAAAATACCCTTTAATAAAGAAATTATATAATTCTTCTATAATATCATATGATATTATTTTTATAAAAATCTATTGATCAGTATGTCCAAAAAATAAATTAATTTTTGTAAAAATAAAATCCCCAATATTTTAAAAAAAATCATGACTATTATATAATAGAGTATTAAACAGTAATTAATTTTTAAATTTTTTCTTTCACTTTTTTCATTTTTCTATTTAAAAAAGAAAAAAGCTTTTCCCTGCATCTAATGTGACTGTCATCTCTTTGTCACTTATACATCAAATAACTGAAAATATCATAACATATTGTATAAGTTTATACTATCACGTCTTATACAACACTACAACCCTAAATCTTAACGCATGAAACCATAGGCATGCTTGTCTATAGCTGGTCGTATTAGGAAAAGCCATTTGGATAACTAGAAATGGTCTTCTTTTGTTTTGATACTTTTCTTTCTCTTTAACACAAAAAATAGAAAGAAAAAGGAAAAGATTGTGATATTGATTGATTCATTTTCTGACCTGCTTCATACCATATTGGTTCACATGGTCTAGACAACGAAAGAAAAGTAAAGAAGACAAGATGCCAAACAACATTGTTTACAGGAATTGTCGTTTCAACGGGTCAATTGTCATTTATATTTAAATTTTTTTTATAAAATTTCTCTATACTATTATTTGATTTATAAAAAAAACTAATGGTCCTTAAATTGTCTCATTTTATTGGAAAATTGATGCCATAAATATGTAACCATTCTACAAGCAGTGTGGTTTGCATGCCTTTATAACAAAATGGCACGTTTATTGTAAAAAAACACATTATTATAATGAAAAGGGGACTTATACATTTTGGTATAAAAGGTAATATTTTTTATTTTTTAAAAATGAATAAACATATAAGATAATAAGTCTACAATAATAAGGAAAAAACAATAAAAATGTTCTTTTTTTTTTAATGGAAGTTCTAGAGAAGAGATGCTCCAAGGAGGAGAAAGATGTCATTGATCCATTAGGCTTGGGAGAGAAATAAGTTTTTTTCATTTGAAATTGAGAGTTTGAGACTAACAATTTATTGGAAAAGTGTTTCTCATGTAACAAGAGATAAAATTTTCTTTAACAATCTCAAAATGATATTATTTTGGAGTTTAGGGAAGAAAAAAAAGGTATTAAATTAATTTTAATTTCTTTTTTATCATGTATTTTTTTTCAAATCCTAAAACAATGTCATTTTGGAATTGCAAGAGATAACTTTATCTCCTCTACGAAACTAACGTTAATCCCATAAGTTTATGTTCTATTTGTTTGAGATTCAGCACAGCTTGCAAACGGTGTTTGAACCAAAGAATTTTTTTCCCAATATTTTCTGAAATGAATCTTGGTGTGACTTCAGAGTAGTGGTAAGTTCGAGCTGTCTCACGTGTATTGGCTTATCGCGCAATGGATCTTGGTTTTATAGGGTTTTTCCTTAATGTTTAAGTTATTTAAGGTGGTTAGGCGCAATGAAGTCATCACGCCTATAGGTCTTTACACGCGATGGAGTTATTGAGCGTTTCATCGGGCCTGTATGTTTCTGGGCTTTGACCTTTTATGGCCTTATTGTATTTTTATCCAGATCAAGTTCTTATTATAAAAAAAATTATAATGAAGAAAAATGTTAAAAGTTAAAAGTTCCTGGAGGAGCTTTTTCTTAAAACGTATGTCAGATTTTGGATTTTTTTTTTTTAAGTTTGAAATTACTTTTAAGCTAAAGTTAAAAAAAGTGAGTTTAAAAAAAAGCTAAAAGTTGTTTGATAACATTTCAAGAAAAGTTTCTCCCTCTTTTTGTGACTCTTCATTTAAAAAACACACAATTCAATAAAAGCTAATAAGAGCATAAAAAAAAAGAGTTTTTTATTATAATAGTTTTTAATAAAATCTGTTTGGCCTAGTTTCTACTTATAAGGAGAAGATAAATTGAAAACTAGAGGATTCAAATAGGCACTTAGAGCTCTTATATTTATTTCACAATTTTATCCTTATTCTAAATATGTATTTATAAATTTTATCCTCTACCCTAATAATTCATCATAACAATAGATTTTTATCTTCCCTTCTTCAAATCATCAAAACAATTTTATACAATTATCAAATAATTTTTAAATCTTTTTTCAATTTTAACTTAAAAGTAGCACTATGTTATTTTTCATAACGGAGGATAGAAATTAGAAACTAATTATTCTATAATTTCATGATACATGTCAAATTGACGAATTGTTGCTAGAAGGGACCATCCTCAAACGTTAGATATGGAAATGAATTTGGCCAGTGGCAGAGCCAGGATTTAATTTTAGCCGGGCAAAAAAATTCGACATATCAAATTATCAAAAAAATTCATAATTACACAAATCTATTAGGAAAAAAATTTACTTAAAATTTTCAAAGTAATAGGATCGATGTTATTTTAACAAATAATAGTTATTAATTTAAAATTTAGAATATAATATAAAATAAAATTAGTAAAGAAAGTGCAAATTATATATACAAATATGAAATTTTCATATGATTTTTATGCACATTTTCATATGATCTTTGATAATATTATTTCATGTGATGTTAATGAAAGCTTATTTCATGTGATGTTAATGAAAATTGATTTCATGTGGTCTTTGTGAATAAATTTTTTTATTTTTTATATTTTAATTTGATTTGGGCCTACAAACATTAGTTTGCAACTTGGTAGGCCTTAAAAGTCGTATTCAGTTTTTTTAGTTTTGTATAATATGGCAGGCCATAAATCAAGTATTTAATAGGCTAATAAGTCAGTATAAATTCTAAATATTTTACATAGGCTTAGGCTATCAAAGCCAAAATTTGACTTAACTTGGCCCATTTATACCCCTAGTCGTGACCTGTGAAGAACATTAACATAGAGGGACATTATAGAGGTGTTCGCGGTCTGGATTAGATCGGTTTTGGAAGCAAAAATCATCTGATCCAATTC